TCGGTGATAAGTGGTGTCCCTCAGGGGTCCCTATTGGGACTAGTACTTTTTAATATCTTCATCAGTGACATAGACAGTGGGATCAAGTGCACCCTCTTCAAATTTGCAGACAACACCCAGCTGAGTGATGCAGTTGACACGCCTGAGGGATGAGATGCAATCCAGAGGGACCTGGTCAAGCTCGAGAAGTGGGCCTGTGTGACCCTCATGAAGGTCAACAAGGCCAAGTGCAGGGTCCTGCACCTGGGTCGAGGCAACCCCCGGTATCAGCACAGGCTGGGGGATGAAGGGATGGAGAGCAGCCCTGCTGAGAAGGACTTGGGAGTACTGGTGGATGAAAAACTGGACATGAGCCGGCAATGTGCGCTCACAGTCCAGAAGGCCAATTGTATCCTGGGCTGCATCCAAAGCAGCGTGGCCAGCAGGTTGAGGGAGGTGATTCAGCTCATCTACTCCACTCTCTTGAGACCCCACCTGCAGTCCTGCATCCAGCTCTGGTGTCCTCAGTACAGGACAGACATGGAACTGTTGGAGCAGGTCCAGAGGAGGGCCACAAAAATGATCAGAGGGATGGAATCCCTCTCCTGTGAGGACAGGCTGAGAGAGTTGGCCTTGTTCAGCCTGGAGAGGAGAAGGCTCTGGGGACACGTATTGCAGCCTTTCAGCACATAGAGGAGGCTTATAAGAAAGATGGGGACAGACTTTTTAGCAGGACCTGTTGCAACTGGACAAGAAGTAATGGTTTTAAACTAAAAGAGGCTATGATTTGACTAGATAGAAGGAATAATTTTTTTCACAATGAGAGTGGTGAAAGACTGGCACAGGTTGCCCAGAGAGGTGGTAGATGCCCCATCCCTGGAAACATTCAAAGTCAGGTTGGACGGGGCTCTGAGCAACCTGTTCTAATTGAAGATGTCCCTGCTCATTGCAGGGGGGTTTGACTAGATGATCTTGAAATGTCCCTTCCAACCCAAAGTATTCTATGATTCTATGACTTGACTATGAAAAGACATGGTGGGTTTAGGTTGTGGGATTGTTGGTAGAATTAGCTTTAACGTATATGCATGCTATTTCAAAACCACATACACATTCCATTAAGTTTTGTGTTCATGGAAAATTTAAATTTTCAGTCACAATAGAAGTATATGCAAAACCAGAATATATAGTTAGTCTGAGATAATTACAACAATGGACATGAACATATATCTAAAATGAGGCAGAACCAACAGTGACAGCAGATAAAGCATGGGATGAGTACCTGTCATGCAGAGGCCCAAAATCAAAATGTATTTAAAATTGCCAAACCTCCTAATACAGCTTGATCTGTCATACAAATTTTTTTATTTTACAGGCAAAAGTCTGGGCTTGGAGTTGTTTTCTCCTTCATTTTCTTTCCTACATTTCACTCTTTCTCCTTTTTTGTGTCTTTTCGGGTTTGCTTGTTGTCTAAAAAGGGTGTTGATTAGGTAGCAAAGAAGAATCCACGTATTGCAGTATTCTTAGAACTACTGAAAAAAAGACAGCTTAGACAGCATGAATCTTGTAAATAATTTACAGGTTTTGTAGTGGTTCATAAGACCATGTGCTGGAAGTGTAATTTCCCAGCAGTAAAATTGCAGGCAAGATTGATCATCAAAAGGCAGAATGTTATTTATTATTCTCTGTGTCGTCTTTGTCATTTTATCTTGTTTCCTCTTTAAAGGGGAGAGGACTAGACTCAGGAAAAACATTTCAAAATGAACTTTTCCTCGTTTTTATTCTCCAGAAGTAAAATATAATACATTATTAATGCAATTCTAAAAGACTGTCAAACAGAAGTTTTCTGTAACAAAACAAATTATATACAGCTGGAGGAAAAATGAATATAGGAAATGGTTTAAATAAGCCTCACATTTTTCTTTCAAACTATGTAATTATTTTCCTTTCTTTTATAAGAATTTAATGAAAAGTTAGAAAGTTGGTTTTTTTTTTTTAATTAGAGTTGGTACAATGGAAGAAGTCAGCAATAACTTGACATAAAGCCATGGGGCATACTTAACAATTACAATATTAAATTTCTCTCACTGCAGTAGAGAAATCTCCTGATAAACACAATAAAGCCAGATTTATGAGCCAAAAAAAGAGCAGTCTTGGAGGTAAATGATGTTGGCTACATATATATTTAGATTAAAAATATTTAAGAACATAAGTGTTCAGAGTCTTGTATAGTCTCCGAGGAAAGATCCAAGCAAAGAAAGAAAGGTTTCAGCTAAATATTTCTGATAAGAGTAATTGGCCAGCATCACAGATTTTTAATGGAAGTCCTTAACATACTGTTACTACAGATCTCCAAGGATGGAAAAGGTAAGGTGCTACTCGCAACGTTGTGGTAAAGAGCAGAGGAAAATACACGGGGTAAACCTAGATAAACGCAAGAGGTCATTGCTGGCTCTACTAACACGCAACTCTGTGTAGGTAGGTTGCCTTTTAAAGCAATGTTTCTTTCAAACACTTTCTTTTCACTCCAGTTCATTAAGTGACAGAAAAAAGCAATACCTTGAAATGAGGTATGCAGAGCATGTATTTCTCTAAAAACAGGCTGCTAACTTATTCTGAACTAACAAAGCATAAATCAGACAATTTTTTCCAGAGTACCATTACTTCTCCACTAACATCATAACATTTAATTGCAGCCAGGAAATGGAAGTCTTATTCTTCACAGCTTCAGACTAAGGACTGACATAGTTGGAGTTGGTGGCAATTCCTGTAAAAAAGGGGAGAGCACTCTTAGCAAAATGAGTATATTTTGAATGTCTTTCTCATCTAAGAAAAAGGTAGAAAAATTGCTTTACATGTTAATAAGCCATAGAGTTAGATGAACCTAAATGCATGCTTTATTCATTATTTATTAAGCTTCTCAGAAAAAAAAAGGCAAAATCTGAGTTGTACAAGCTCAATATAGAGGTTTTCTTTTTAGCTCACTGAAAATGTGCCTAGCTTTTTGTCTGAAAAGAAATTACATGCCAAACAGAAAGACGCTAAGGCTTCTTTTTCTAAATTCTAAAATACTGCATTGTCCTTTCACACTCCCACCCGTGTCAGTGAGAGGGTTACGTTACTCTTCCTCGAGCAGGTCTGGGAATCGTGTAGAGCGTATACCAATGTACGCTTGGAAGAGGAACTTATGAAATACCTTTGTTACACTTCCTACATTGAATAACTATGATGTTATATCAGTGAGCACCTGAACACTTCGCTGATGTTTTCTTTATTGTACTTCGAATGCAAGTAAAAATATTGCTCTTTTGCATGCATTTGTACAACTCTAAAAGGCAAAGACAAGCCGTGTAGTAAACCTGTTGGGGACCACGGAGCCGCTAGACCATCTGACTACAGTCTTTTTCGGAAGCTGATAAAGCGAGAGAGGCGTTCTAGAAATGCCCTCACACCAAGTACGCGACAGGCAGGGAGATGCCGCCCAGCTAAGGGATGGCTCCTTGCCTGGCAAAGGGGAGACGCGCCTTTCACTGCTGCCTCCATTCCCCAACGGCGTCGGCTTGCCGGGCGGTGTGGCCCAGCAGTCGGTATATGCCTGGTCTTAGCGAGGCCTCTGCTCTAATTCCGCGCCCACCAGGGACAGCCTCCGTGACCCGCAGCAAAAGGTTTTGTACTTCTGTCTCTGTGGCTGCTTTGTCTGTCTGTTACGATCAAACAGAATTGTTTCTTACTACGTGTGTGCGTAGTCAGTGCATAGTCAGTTATGGTGAAGAGCTGATTTTGGCTGACGGTAAGTGACATAAATCAAAATAATACTAGATCTAGAGATCTGACAGGCGTTTTCCAGCGGTGCGTTCTTCTCTCAATTAGTAAGATTACACTGTTTGTTTCCCAGCAGAAACTGTCAGAAGTGTGAATATCTCAGTGTTCCTTACTTGATCTAATAGAAATGTTAATGATTGATCAAGAAAAGCTGTTATTACACTGGTAAAATATGCTATACTGTTCTTTATCTTCATTTAAAGCTACTTCCTTTCCCCAGTTTAGGACTAGGGGCACATAAGTTTGAGCCATCAGTCCAAATGGCACAGCAGTGGACAAAAATAAATATATGAGCCTTAACACTTAATTTCTCTTTTCTTACTTAACTTTGTTTCTAGAAATACTTTCCTCTTAAAGAGCTTGCAAGGCTTTTTTCACCCTCTGTGTTAAAGAAGGAATTAAGGCAAAAGGGAATTAAGTGCATTGCCCAAAGTCACCTGCTCATCTGGCAAGTTTAGGACTAGAAGTCAACTGTCTCGTCTTTGATTTTTATGCATGACTGACTTAGTAAAAAATACAGTATTCCTTCTGCTTTGCCTTCCTCTTTACATAAGTAATTTTTGTAAAGTCACCACTCAAATCCTCTTTTTTCTTCTTCAGTTCCTTTCATTTGCTCTGTAATCGCTCTGCTCTGACACTTTCTGCTCATTCTTTCTTACATATTCCAGTTTACAAAAAAGATGTAAAGAGGCAGAAGGATATGCAAGGTTTGAATAAGATCTTTTGTGACTGGCTCTTTCGAATTCATTGTATATAACTCTTCAGGCAGAATATGACTGCATGTTGCATCAGTAATACCTACCTGCAAATGCAGTTTACATTCCTCCTTGGTTTCTACGCCGTGCAAGCGCTGCTTGTGCTGGCGGGAGCGACCACCCCCGGCCCACAGCGGCACCAACAGCTCCACGCACTGCGGCAGAGCGGTTGCTGCTCACATCTGTCACTGAGGTCTCAAGACTGAAGTTGAGATATATGGCACAGAAGAAATTTTTGTCCCATGGGAACTTTTTAGGAAGATCCTTCAAAATGACTTTTAATGCATTAATAATTGGTTGAAAGTGCAAAATCAAGACTCTTCTAGCATGTTAAACTCTCAGAGTCACAAACATGTTCTGTAGAGTCTCATGAACACATGATTTGACTTAAACAGTTTGGATGCTATTCAGTTCTT